TAATATCGCTGTGATGTTTGCCGGAAGACATTTGGTCCAAAGTTGGCGGAGTATGGAATCGTCGAGTTTCGACGAACCAACAAGGGAACGCATGTGCCTTAGAAGCTGGGATGGGGTACGATCGCCAAGCTCGACGCCGGAAAGTAACTGTTGCAGACGAGCTTCATCAGACGCAGTTGTGCGTTTAAGGATAGCTGCTTTAAGTTTATCATACGACGATTCAACAGGCATAGGGTCAAGAATATCAATGACTTCAGATGCAATGGAGACAGGTAAGCGCGAGACGACGTAAGAGAACATGGAAGACTGTGAAGTGATCTTACGACATCGAAAAGTGGCTTCCACCTGAATAAACCATATGCGTGGATTGGAAATGTCAAAGTTAGGAAGCGAGAGTTCGACGGAATTGTCCGTAAAAACACATGGGGTATGGTCAGACAAGACTAAAATAACTACGTGTTCAAAAAAATTAAGGCAGGGTCACCAATTTATGTAGTGGTCGAAAAATACTAAAAAGGTTTCAACCCCTTAATAAAAGGCAAAAAGTTGGAGAGGGTCAACTCGCAGTTTAATCACAGTCGAGTTCGAGTCGTAGCTTGCGCTATACCTGTGACACACGTCGAGCACAATGGAAATAGACGTTCGATAACAATTCCGAATATACTATCCGATTTTCAAGCAGACTGGACGGCACCGTACACACGCAGAAGCAGCACAGCCAGAAATCAGCACGACGGAACGCGGGGCGCGAAGAAGTGTATTGTAATCATTAATTCAAACAAACTGTACAAAAGATGTCGTGATAAAATTGATGACAAGAAAGACAGAATGTGAAAGATTAATAACCACTACAAGCCATGAGCGAGGCCACTCGGGACCACTACCGAAGCGACGACGGGTCGTGCAGTGAACGTAGGCGGAACCGGCGCAGCGTTTGTAGGTGCGCTGCATTCGATTTACTATCCGCGTACTTGCATGCTAGGTCTCTTTATTTCAGGTGGTGGGTTTTCAGTTCTGTCCTAATGCCTTTCTTTCTCATATAAATGTCTAGTGAGCCATGAGCGAGGCCACTCGGTACCACTACAGAAGCGACGACGGGTCCTTCAGAGATGGTAGGCAGAACCGACGCAGCGTTTGTAGGTACGCTGCATTCGATTTACTAACCGCGTGCTTGCATGCTAAGTCCCTTTATTTCAGGCGTTGGGTTTCAATTTGGCAATAATGCTTTTCTTGCTCGTATAGATGTCTACCTGTACTCTATTAACTGTACTCCATTAACTTGCACACTTCGCTTAAGCCAATTGTATTCGATTTCCATAACCTTTTTGTGTTCGTGGCATTTCCGTAAAATATCCTTTCTGACCTCGTGAACTTATCTAGGATTCGTTTGTAAACAACTTATTTCATCTGCTCATTAACTTAAGGTTTATGTCACCGTTTCCTTATGCATTAATCGAGTTATCTTCTTTTTCTCTCTCTCAAGTGATTGGCTGTTGCTTGATATCCCCGGTGTGGCTGCGCTTGATGTGCATGTTGACAAGGTACCTACCTGTCTATTACCCACTACCTCGTCCATACTGGCTCCAGGAGACAGTTGGTCGTTGCTGGAGGAGACGGGGTGCATGGTCCTTGTGGCCGTGCTGGGCTCGAAGGGTGGTTCCATGCAGTCATTGTGGAGTGGACTACGGTCCAGTCACCGCCTTGTATGCACTTGGTTCCCCAACTACAGCGTGCTTGTGTTTGCCTGTGAAGGAGTGTAGGCCGGCTCCGTTGATGAAACGTGGCTCCCATCCACATTCCTCCCGGTCTTATTCTTTCGGGTTTACACTGGATATGGGGTGTGTGGATGGAACTGTGGGTTTTGCAGCGCAAGCCATCCCTGGTCCCTCTGTAGGCGCAGGCGTTCTGTGGCTGGCCACAGTGACAGGCAAATCCGAAACCGGATGCCGCCAACCATATATATATCGTAGCAATAAGCTGTGATATAAAAATGGAATCACCAAAACCAGGGAATGAATGTGCATAACAATTACACATTCACAATGAATCATTGGACCTAGGTATTGAATTTTCATTCCTCCTTTCGTAACATTTTGATGATTACATTGCCGATCGGTCAAACCACAGAATACATCTGTACATATCTTTCACTCAGCCCGAATATGCACCATATCCCCAAGTGTTTCCAACCGGTGGATTTTGCATCTTCGAATCTTCAACCCTAAAGGCTGATGCGACTAATGATAGCTTAACTGAAATTCAGTGTCCCAGCTTTTAGCCTTGATGTGGTACTTTGATCACCGCGTGATTTCTTTCAATGCGATCTTGTACAAGCAAATAGCGCTCATAGTGGTAGTCGCTCGTGCGGCTTGCGGAGGGGTGACCCAGCCATCATGACTGGAGCAACGGCACTTTTTATGTAGACAACGCCGTTAAGATAGTTTGATGGAATCGCACGCAGCTTGAATGTCCAAAATGGCGACAGTGTTAGACTAGTCAGTAAAGGCAATGGCGCTCAAGAAATTGGAGTATCGTAAACGTGCGGTCTAAAGATCCGGGGTCGCTGCGAGAACTAGCCTGTTCTTCAATAAAGTGTAGTTTACAATCCAGTTAAGTTATCGAGAAGGGGAATGGATACTAGCAAATTACAGGTAGCTGACTTCAAACTAATTCCTCTGTGGTTAACGGATTGTGTCAAGCACTTAGCTTGAGTTTCAGGACAATGATCGACCCGGCCCAGAAGAAGAAGGCATCAGAACTACGTCCGTACGCATTACCAACGCTTTGCTGTCACGCAACAACCGCTGGTCGCGCGTGGCTTAAGGATACTACGACGCTTGCCTAGTCCCCTATTCAGGTTCGAATCTGCGACCTCTAGATTACATGGCACGCGTGTGATCCTTTCGGCGACGGCCGGGGACCCGTCTCAAGAAGATGGGACCTCCTTTTTACAACAGATCATAGAGAACAAAGACGGTAACTAGTTGACAGGTGTTTCGTCACTTGAAGAGCTCCGGATGGAGTCTGTGTGCGCCAGTAATCTTGAATCGGCTTGTTTGTCACAACTCAAGCCAGATTTCCAATTCCATGGGAAGTACCACAGGAACGTTTCAAAACGCTCAACTATGTATACCGGTTTGACATGAGGATAGAGGGGTCCAAATGAATTGAGACTGAAAGTGCTTAACTTAGTTGCCCATTTGCTTACACAAATTAATGGTTTGTGATCCGTCAAACCCACACCTAGAATCACTAGCAGAAGGTCTTCTATGAGCAAGAATTCAAATGAGATGAGGGAGCTTTAGTTATCCAAGGAGAGTTGATGTCTGAAGCACGCTGCAATCGCTAGGCTTTGTAGTTACTACACGGTCTTTGTCTGCGTTGCTTGCTGACATTACGGTGTAATGCACATATATTTGAAGTGGCTGGGATGGCTCGACCTGGTCAATTTATTCCAGTATACCAACAGATACCAGTCTCCTAGAGGGTGCCCAGCGATTTTCGAGACCAATTGGCTAGAAGAATGCATCGCTTTTTTATGAAACACTGATGTTCAACGTCCTGAGATGGAGCGCCAGCGATCGTATCTGCTGAGAAGATTAATAGACCAGCTGCACGGAGGGACTAACTAGCTTGTTAACCATTAAACTTCAACCAAACGATAACTTCACTGATGAGCTGTGGATCACTACATAGAATTGGTGTAACGTTTGCTTTATCATGACGTACTGTCCTTTTAGGCGTGAGGTTGCATTAAGCCACATCAGCTGTCCTATATTTTGGTTTCAAGCACATTTGCTACACATGTGACTACAGTAAATCGTACTGTTACGCTTTAGCTGCAAAGTAATGGTGTCATGCAGTGCTCACTCTTGCATATGGTCTTTCTTGTAACCGCTGTTATCTTATCTTGCCGTTAATCATAAACCGTCCCGTGCTTAACCGTTACCATGATTACGTTTTATCACCGCCGAAGACCTATCATACGACCTGTTTTGGTGTACTAGAGTATCCATTTCATTCCGAATCTGCTTGGATTGGTATTAGTAAGCCCAGCTGAATAGGACTCATTAGATAAAGGTTTTCTTGTTTTTATTGCTATACGTACATCGGTCAGTTTACTACTTTCCAATCTACCGAGTATCTCAAAGCTACCTGCTTAAAGTAAAACAGTCATTTGGTGATATGAAGAACAGGGGAACTTTATCAGTCTTCGATTAAGAGGACAATCATTTTATGTTCCACACGTTACCACAGTAATCGGTACTTCTTTCAGAGTCTGCTTAATAACAATAGATCTTAGCAGCCTGATTGCTGACTCGAGTGGAACACATTCGTTGGGTCTAGGCTAGAACTTTAGACATTGACAAATTCGCTCCCATTGCGCAACTCTAACCCTGTACTCCAGCCTTGAGTAGATGCACAAAGTATGCGTATGTGGTGTCTAATCACCAGTCCCAAAATTATTACAGCTTTCCATGGTGCTACACAACCTGTGCTAGAGCTATTTGTTGCGTAATGCGTTTACTCACTGCCTCGTTTGTCTCATCCACGCAATATGGGAGCACACCAAGGAATGTACACTGATAAGCATAATTGTCTCTGATCCTTAGCTGGTGGGTGTTTATTTCTTGCTAGTTAAGGCTGGAATGTGCTATTATTCTTAGTGGCTGCCTCACCTTGTAGCACTTCAGCATCGGGACAGTAGAATCATGTACACTCCAGTATAAAAACTTTCTATCGACAAATGCAGCCCATTTTCAAATGTTATTAGTACCGCATTTTACCTCACGAAATGAAGAACAAGGTTCGCACTTTCGAACAATTATACTTTTAGTTGCACATCGAACAGTCTAACCCTACACTGTCAAAGACAATCGGTCGTTTGTGACGCAACTGGGTTGTATTCGGCGTATAATATGTTATTTAACAAACTTATATGTTGAATTTTATTTGAGTCAGATTTATCCGTTGTTGACGTGTCCTATTTTCTTTTTCAGCTGGTATACCCTCAGAGGTAGTTCAAGAAGATCTCGAAGCAGAGGATGAAGATGAGCAAGGAATGAATCTCTTTTCTGTACGTTTTACATCAACTTTTTGTAGCTCAAACGCTGAGTCAACTTTCTTCCTGCACTTCTTTACTAATAATGTCAATTTTACTCAGCTACTATGAATACAACTTAACTTTTTGTTACACAGGCCGTTAGTGTGCACCATACAAACGATTTTATTACATCGATGCCTTAAAATTGCTTTTTACTCGGACTTTCTGTTGCTTTTAGTTATACGCTACCTGAAATTTCCAACTTATCTCCGCCACTTTTGTCCACTTTGTTTAGCTATGAGTGATAGTACTCACTTCTGCGGTTGGAATAAAGCTGGCTATTAATTGTCAATCTTTTCACTCAAACAGAAGGCAGGTAGTAAGTAGTCCAGCTATTGGTCGATGGATTCATTTTTGTGACTTGTAGTCAACGGGTAGCTGATAAAAGCGTGAGTAGTTGCTCGCCGCCTTGCTGTATCATTAGCGTGCATGTGATTGGCAGCGGTCGCGCTGTAGAGAAGACTTGGTACGAGATACAAATGTCATGCTGCTGCTTTAGTAAAGACTACGCCTTCTGTTTTTTCTTTTGTGTCATTCTGGGTCAAAACTAAGTTGACGTTCTAGCGTTACTGATTGTTTTAGTGCACTAAGTAAGGTCCTTTTGTCTTGCCTTCAACCACGTCGTCTCAGCCTAAAACTATTTCTACGAACGAGCTAGGTTTATTTCTCACAGTATTCAGCCTAAGGAAAATGTAATTTAGATAACTTCAATACAGTTGTAAAACATCTTTACACAAACGTTCGTCCCCAAGTAAATATTTGCTTCCTTTTTGGGTTGTGGACTGGCCAATAACAGAATCAGATAACCGTCGCTCGGGAGCTTTTCGTGTTTAATAGCTTATACGCATGAATTTAACAGCTCGCTGCCGTTTGAATATAAGTCAAAGCTAAGTCTAATTACTATGTGTTTATGAGGACTTTGCCATTTCTATTTGTTAAGTAGCATTCCTGGCACAGAAATAAGTAAGTTTGCGTTCAGACACTTTCTCGCACTGAGAACTTGATAATTGCGCCTAAACTGATAAAGTATTTTTGAAAACAAGTACTTTGTTACCACCGACTTGTTCGCACCTAAGGTGGTATATTTTCACATCATAATTCACAGGCGTCGTTTAAATGAGCGAACGAACAAGGTATTGAACATTACATTAATTTCACACTTTTTATAATGAGGATTACTTTAGTTTTGCATCCGTTATAACCGGCATCACGTCTTCTAATAACTTCATGTTATGATTTTCCAGTTGTCTTTGTAGCGGATTCTAGAGTGGTGGTTCATGAATTGAAACGCGCTTTACGTCCAATTTTATCCTACGATATTTATTAACTGCTACCCAGCGTTATGTGGCTTAAAAGTATTTTTGTGCAACTGCTTTGGCAACCTTTCCATTTGTTTTTGCCTACCAATATTGAACAGTTATACTCCTCGAAGTTGAACTAGTTATCATCGCAACAAAGTACACTTTAACCTGGCACAGTGCTCGTCGTGCCTCAATGATCTACTGAGTTGTGCTGGGTGGTGCTTCTTGCACATTCAGCATCACTCATACCAGATCGGTCAATGGTTAGAGGCAAGACTAACTCAGTATCCTGGACTTTCAAGTTGGTGGTTAGATTGTAGGTTCCTCCTTACACTTTAAAACTGACTTCTGTATCCCAATGCCAAAATCCAGCTTCATTGAGTCAGGTTTTTGAAACAAAAACTTTGCTAGAAAGCTCTAATCATTCTTTTGCCAAGACCTGGGCGGCTTAAACAAATAAATGTAAGTCTATAAATGAATGGTATATTCCTCAAGGGTGCGAGGCACAGCCCAACTGAGTGATCTGATCAATTTGTACTACGAGATCGCATAAAATAGTCTTCATGTTTGATATAAAGTATCCTAAATGGGTTTTTGAAGTGATTGGTTGTTTGAGTGTATTAGAGATTAGTAGACTAGGAGCAATAACAAATTCAGATTTAACCAAATGTTCAAGTAAAGCATTATAACTATTCATGGAACCGTCTCCAGGTGACTTGCTCTTATGTAGTATATTCCCTGCACTTCCATGTTCCAACTGGTCGTATGCCGATGTGGCAATTTCGCAAGTAAGCCATCACCTGTTTAACAAATGCTTTTAGTGCTGTTTTTATGCATACGTAATTGGCGATGAAGCCTCACTCCGTTCCGTCATGTGGATCATTTAAGTATGACACTTTTGTGTTATACGTCAGTAAGTCAGAGGCAGTGCCTTGCCTGGGTATACATTTTTTTAGCTTGGAAGCTGTAATCAGTCAGCTCAAGCGATCATCCCAGTAGTTGCCAGCGATGAAATAAGGAAGAATTTAAAGTACGAGGAATCGAAAAACAAAATTATTATTATATTCTCTTACATATAGGCCAATTACAAACTGATGGGAAATCTTGTCGAATAACGACGATATTGCAGAGGTTTTGAGAGAAAGTATTGTTACACTCTGGCCACGGTTTTATAAAGAATAAAGAGCAGTAAGGATAATCAAAATGCAGCTTACATTATCTCTGCAGTTAAGCGTACTTTATCACAAAAGCGGCCAATTGAAGCCATTAGAATTGGAAGAGGGTCAGTTCATTAATTCCAGACAATTGATCGCAAAGAGAATATCCGTTATCGATCGCTTAGTGGAGACATGAAAAAGACATAAGTGATGTGCGGATGAGTATAGAAAGTTCATGGAGCATGTTTTGAATGGTAGTGGGAATAAACCGCAGGGATGGACTACTAATCTTCGACAAATGACTCCTGTGCTTTTTTGTTTCACTATGACCCGGTCCTTCCGCAAACAACCTTTCATCGCCTTTTTGTAACCTAAGATCTGTTTCACCTTCGCCGGTGCCTCCAAAACCTCAAGCATTTTTCCAATACGCCTGAGCATTTGCACATCGTACACAACTAGACAGCCTGTTCCACATCAGGCCGAATCTTATAAAACTTCTCTCTGACCATGGTCCTGAATGGAGGTACTACAATCATACATTCTGTAACGCGTAGTTCATGTCTGTTTTTCAACCTCAATTGATTAGAGTGGTGTTCACTATGCACTTTATGCCACAAGTTTATGTAGAAAACTAATGTTTAAATGTAATTTGTGCAGCATCCCGCCCACACACTACAATGACTCTGTGTTCAGACAGTTTCTCGATGCTCTGACCATCGCAAAGGATAATCAACCTTGCCCATTCTGCTGCATCCAGCAGGATGGGTAGGAGTGGGCATGCTATTGCTCAGGCCTTTCCGACCTTTAATTCCCTCTCTTACGCTTTTTCATCGCTTCTGTCCTCCACTTTCCAATCCTTGTTCCTGCCTGTCTCGTTTTGAAAGTCGCTTTTTGATTTCGAATCACAGGGAGTCACTCCGGTTCATGTCTAACGAGATGGACAATGACAGTTTATCCATTTCCTTTTGGACACCTAGATCCTCGCTATAGTTGGCATGCTTCAGAGTGCGCACTTTGTTGTAAATCGGCCAACAGGCAATACTTATTCAAACGCTAAGGCGTTTATCGATCGTTGTTTGTTGCTTATCGGAAACCCACCAGAAAGACCTTGGCTCTGTGCTTACTCTTCGAATACTTTCATGTTACACTTCCGGTACTTTCTCGCTGATTCTGTTCGGAGATAATGCAAATACAACTTTCGGTCAATCCCTAATTGGGATTTCTCTGAGCCGCCGGGTCGAAGCTATCCTGATCGAGAGGCGGATGTGTGCCTTCCGATTAGGTGGTTCACTTAAAACTTCAGTCTCGTGGTGCCAATAGGTGGCTGTTTGTCATTGCTGCCTACTTTCTCAAAAATCGTAGCGCTGACTCGATGAAGGATAACTTCTATCATCAAGTGAACGAGCCCCTTCGTCACAGCAAACTACGGATAATATAATACTGGGTGACGGTTTGAATGCTCAAGCTGTAAAGCTGTTTACTTAGGAACTGCATCTAGCCGGAAAAACGGTGTATACCTTCGTAATCCTAACGATGAGCGGTTGTTACATATGTTTGAAGATGTCTGTCTATTTCTGTCGAGAACTAAGTTCCGACACAGCGCACACTAGAGGATGACATGAAACTCATCATTCTCAAACTAACCGTAGACTCAAATCGGACACACCGCGATCATTTACAGTTCGAGATGTTTCGTCAACAACTGTCGTTCGACTTAAAGTACAAACATAGACTCCGATCATGCGCCTGTATGTACTGTTCTGAGTGTGCTTCTCGCTGAACGTCCGCGATGACATTGTGAGGGCATGGAAAGATGTCAACTACTAAAGCCGGATGTTCTAACTGCATGTAATATCATTATGGCATCTGAGCTGATTAGGCGCTCGTTGTACGCAGTCGACAATCACTTCTCACATACACACCAGACGTTGTTAGCAACGGGTATGTTTTCCTTTAGATCTGATTGACAATCTGGATCTTTGGTCTCTACGCATGTTCTGGAACTTCTGGATGCTCCTTACCGCATTACACTTTGGAGCGCAAACAGCTGAGAGTACATTGCGTACTATCCTGAAGCGAGACCGTGAAAACCATCGTTCTCATCGTACTTTGGAAATGAAACAGCAACTGTCCTTGGTAATCATCGAAAGTTATTCCGTCTTCTATGGCAAATGGGTAGCCGGAGACTTGCTGTCAACGAGACTGTGCATGAAGTGAATAGGCGGCCTATCCACAACCTGTGAAAACACTTCGGGCGTTGGTCTAAGCACTTTAAAAGGTAATTTAATAGGCTGGAACCACCAGATTTCATTCCGACCAGTGACCACTCTGCTCCATGGACCTGTCACAGAACACGGTGCTTCAGGTACAAACCATTTATTCGACAAAGCAGGCTCAGTAAAAAGGACAGCATGATTAAGTTGTAGAAGCCTCCACGTAAATAACTAGGTCATTTCCATATCTGCATTCATAACATCCGTCCCTTGCATCAGTCAAACAAGCTCAACGAAATACG